TCAATATGTACAAGTAAGACAGGAAGTACAAAATTTGAGCAAAATTATGCCTGAAAAATGTTGTCTCAACAGCTCACTTGGTTTTGGAACAGAGCTTTTATGTTTAAAACATTGTAATTGTAAATCCAAAAGCATGCATGTTACTGTTTGGAGACATTTTTGTGGCTCTACCACAAAACGCTTTGGCAGGTGCAGAAACTGCTGATTTTGGAGGTTTTACAGTCTTGGTGGACTTCAAATCTACAGACATATCAATGCACTGGCTGATACTTATGTATATCTACTAACTCCATTTACTCATTACTTATTGAAAAATTAATATTAATGCATATATTGGATTAGACACCATTTATTGACAAGTGAGTGGTTGCTTGAGAAACAAATATTTCAGCTTCATCTGAAATTTCTGGCAATAGTAAAAGGGTTAGTTTAATCCAAAAATGTACTCATTCTCATGTTGTTTCAAACCTATAAAACGTCCATTCATCTTCAGAACACAAATATATGTGTAATATTCTCTCATAATTTTTGTCTATCCATTCAAAGTCCATGCGACCAAAACTTTCGCATATCAAAAACAAGAACATCATATTGCTCATCAAGCAAGCATGGCTGAGCTTCTGTGTTTATCATATTTGATGAGCTCTATGAATGTACATTTAACATTTTAACTTTTGCCTCAATAAACTCCTAATTTACTGCTTATTAATAGTTAGTAAGATAGTTGTTAAGTTTGGGTATTGGGTAGGATTAGGGATGTAGAATACGGTCATGCAGAATATATGCTTTATATGAACTAATAAACAGCCATTATGTTAATGATAGGCATGCTAATAAGCAACTGGTTAATAGTGAGAATTGGTTCCTATACTAAAGTGTTACCTAGAACTGTACTTTCAGAAATTATATATCACAAGTACATTTTTAAAAAAAAAAGTGCACTTTGTAATAATATCCAATTAATAATAATAGTGTAGATTTACAGTACTTTACATTTCAAACCGTTATGATTTAATAATAGTTTGTTGTTTTTTAAAGAAGTACATTTATTTGGATGTGTTGACTAACATACTAAATCACAAAAACCTTATAAAGCATAACTTTAACTGTAGTGTGTAATTCGTAGTATTGTGTTATTTATTTAAATTAAATTTAAAGTTAATATTTTACATTTAAATATTTTATATGTACAAAATTGCAACTTAATCATTGCAAATGTGATCAGTTACAAATATACAGTATTTGAATACAAGACATACAAGTTTCAAAAGAAATTACATCAAATATATTTTTGTTTACCATAAATGATTGTCAGTACATTTCACAACACAATTTAACCATATTTCAAACACAACAAAAGTAATTATGCAATTACATACAGTATAAAGATCAAGTCCTACATAAGCACTCTTAATTTCAACTAACTGCATTTATTGTAAATTTAAACTATAATACATTTTCATGTATTGCAATTAACATGCAATAAGTGTTTGAAAACATTACATTCAGTGCGCACTCAAGTACATTCTTTTAAAGTATATTATTTCCATAATATGTCCTTTTTTTCTTTCACAAGGGAAATTTTGACCGAATTAAATTTTTTTTGGTGAACTATCCCTTTAAATCACCATACCAGCCTTTGCAACTGCAACTATATTTGTGTCGAATATCTCTGTTGAACATATGTTATCTACAATCTCATTTCAAACACAAGTTCTTTTTATTTCTTCAGTGTAAACAAGGTTTTTTTTCCCCATCATTTCCAATCCTGAATGATATTTTGGTCTTGTGGTACTTGTACTCGTAACAGCCTGGGGCTTGCCAGTGTCCCTCAGGCTTCTGGGAAGATGAAATAGTACGCTGTTTCAAGAGGAGCACACTGCTTCAGCCACAGGTTTAAATTAAGCGTGGTGGAGCAGCGTCGGGAGGGGAGGCCTCAAAGCCCCTCCGGCCACATAGGAAAGAGAATAACTCATGTATGGCAGCATGAATGCGACGGCTGATACGCTAAATGTAAACAAGAGGAGAGACGCGGTAAGCGAGGGGTCAAGTCATCGCACACATATCGCTTGAGCAGGGCGGGGTTCATATTCTGCAGAGCTTATTTTGGTTTTGCTTTTCATTTTGGTTTCACACCATGAAACACAAATCAAATATTAATGAGAAATGTGCGTCAGAAAAGAAGGCAGGTAAGTGTGTTTCCACTTTTGAGTGCCAAAAAGAGAAGAAGAAAAAAACTTGGTTTACCTTGATAATTTCTTAAAATGTTCCTACCGTTAATAAACAAACAGGTTCTCATTATTATACTATTCTTTTCACAACTGTTCCTCCAGCAAAGAGTGAAACATGTATCATATCTCATTCATATCTCATGTCTTCACAATGCTGATGTGCATGTGTGTGTGTGTGTGTGTGTGTGTGTGTGTGTGTGTGTGTGTGTGTGT